CATGAATCAGCCGCAGTCTTACCACAGTGATACCTGTGTGCTGAGTGATGGGACAGTTCAGCCAGATACGCACAGATAAATACTTGGCTTGTGTGTTCCATATAAAATTACAATTCATATTATACATCCCTGTGAGCCAGATTCTGAATGGATTTTTCCTATTAATTTCAGTCCTTTACAAAAGGAAAAATAAACCGGTTTTTAAATGTATGTATATAATTCACCCCCATTTACAATCCTTCATGTATTACATAGAAGGATTGCCTTTTAAAAAACATTGCGGGATGGAAATGGATATTTAATCTTTGGGAGACTATTTTAGAAGATATGTTTGTAGAACACTTATTTTTGCAAAAGATTTAAAGCAATAAGAAGGAAGGCGAGAGGAGCAGAACATTTTGGTCTAGGATGGTTTCTTTTTAAACCAATTTTTCTTGTTAATTTACAGTTAAACCTAGGGGACAATCCGGGTTGGCCCTCCCCCTTTTGTAAATAACCCAGGAAATGTAATAAATTCATTATCTTAGGGTAATCTGCCCTGCCAATCAGACTTTGGGGAGATGGCGATTTGATTACAGGCGTTCGGGGGCCTTGCAGTTTGTTTTGGAGATAATACAGTTTCCTGCTATCTGCCGCTCCTATCTAGAGGCAACACTTAAGCAGTAATTGCTGTTGCTTGTTGTCAAAATTTGATCATTGTTAAAGGATTGCTGCAAATAAATACACTTTAATTTCAGTCAAAAACTGCTCTACGTGGCCTGTGATTCGCTCGGTCCCCTCCCCCAGGGTCGTAACCTAATCGCCGGGAAGATCGCTGCAGCGCTGGCGCGGGTGTCTCCTTGGGGCAGGCGAGCTGGGGTTGGCCCCACGGCCCCGTTTAAATCTCGCTGGGCTGTCCCGGAGCTAGGTCCCGGGGCTGCCTCCAGCTTCTTTGGGTTACAGCCTCTTTCCGGACAGAGGAGGGGAGGGGGTGAAGACTTATCGCCAGTCTCCAGGAGTTGGCGTGGTGCTCTACTTTGGGGAGCCGAGCGAGGAGCTGGGATTTGCGGACAGAGGCCCGCGGCTGGAGCTGGTTTGTCGAGGCCCAGAAGGGGAGCTGCACCAGGTGACACACGGCCCTGTCCCCACGGGCGGGCTGGCCCAGCCCGAGGCGGAGCAGCTCGGTCGCCAGAGACGGTACGGTTCTCGACGTGCCTGGTTGGGTTCTGTGGAGTAGGGGGTGGCGGGTTGAGACCCGCGCGGCCCACGCCTTGGCTTTCCGGCTGGGGCGTTTCTCGGCGGCCCAGTCTCTTCCGAGTCGCGCCCGCCCCGACGCCGGCCTCCTGGACGCCGCTAGCGACGGGAATGCTCTCCAGCTAATTAGCTGTAATTACCGCGGCGGCCCGGGGCTCGGCTTCTGTTTGAGTTTGGAGCTCCTTCCTCCCCCCAACCCCGCCCCGCCGCCTCCCTCCCCAGATGAGCCCCGGCCTCCGAGGCTTCCTTCTGAAATTAGTCGCTGGAGAAAACAGTCAAAGGAGACCCTTGTTACGTTAGCTGGGTTAATCGTAGATTGGGTCCGGGTGTCGGGAAGACCGCGAGGAGGGAGAGTGGCTGGCGCGGAGTGCCGGGGACAGGGACGGGGAGGGCGGGGGCCGCGGAGAGGGGAGAAGCGCCCTCAGGGCTCTGGCCACGGCTCTCGGAGGAGTCCGCTCCCCTGCCCTGTTACCCGCGACTCCGCCTGGCGCTGCCCGGCCCCGCCGAGCTCCCACTTCCTCCTCGCTGGCCTTTTTTGTTGTGAAGACACACGTGTGTTTAGGAGCGCAGCTGGGGTGGAAAGGTCAGAGGCACTTCATTGCTCACGGGTGACAGCTCGCCCCGCGCCGGCCCGCAGCCTCCAGGCGCGGGGCCCTCAGCTGCGCGTTTGCAGGACCATCCCAGACCCTCCCCGGACCCTGGCCGCGGCCCACCCGCCTCGGCCTGGCCGCGCCAGACCTGCCCCAGCCACTACTGCGGCTCCAGGCGGCCTCCCCGGCAGAGCTGCGTCCACACGCGGTGTGTGAGGTCGGTTTGCAGAGGCCACCATTCACTTGGCAGTGGCCGTGTGGGGAGACCCTCGGCCTCAGAAGCCCTTGGGCGAGCGGCGGGCTCAGCGTGTTCGCGGCCCACGTGCCTGCAACTCTCCGCTCTCCTTGGGCCTCGGCTTTGCGGCCCTGAGGAGGTGGCGACTGCAGTCAGTCCCGGCCTAGGCCCGGGTGGGTCCTGGAGAGCTCGGCTGGCTTTCTGAACCGTTCCCAGGGGCGGGAGCGAGCTGCTGGGGTGACCTGGGCTAGGGAAAGAGTCGACTCGCTCCCAGCTGGGGGTTCTTCGGAGTCTGTCCTGCCGAGGAGTGGGCCTTGAGCATCCCCTGCCCTTCCTTGCGGGGCTCCAGGCCCCGAGGCTGGAGAGGAAGCCGGTACAGGGTGAGCACGCGGCGCTGCGGTTTCTGCGGCCGGCGAGGAGCCCCTGGCCCGCAGGTCCCAGAGTGTTTACAGGCATGCTCGAGCAAAGCTTCTGAGCAACTGCTTTACCCTTTCCATTCGAATGTTTGAAAATTAGGCATGGAGCATACATGTGTCTAAGAAGGTGTTTGTGCTAACCATATATGACATAGTCATTTCTACACTCGTTGCCTGCGCAAGTTGAGAAACTATGTTGAGTGGAAGGACAGGGGTTCTGCTCGTTATTCGGATTTAAAAAACCCTGTCTATGTAATGCCTCCTACTATCAATACGTTACCTTTTGGATTCTCACATCCGATTTAAGAAAAACAACTTCTGCCAACCTCATTTAACCTGGAACTGTTTATTCCTTAGAGGTTTTCACGTTTAGTTTGTACTATTTTAGCAATAAGAATAATTTTTCTGTGAAATATTCTAAGAAAAATTCCTTGATATTTTAGCTAATAGCCAGTACATTTTGAAATGAGCCTGTGACGGCAGTCCAGATCCATGGTGGGGGATTGGCTAATTTTGAAAATAGACTCTGTAAAAAGCTTTAGGAGAATAAGTATTTCGTCCTTTCTCCAGAAATGGACACATTTATTTTCTTAGCAATTTATGCTGTGAGTGCTTAAAGGCCAACATGGTCCATCCCATATGCAGTCTTGCATTTGGCATGTTGCACGTGTGGGAGAAACCCGTGCTGAATTTTCCAGGGTTATGTTGTTAGCATGTAAACAAGCACACCTTTTACAATTTATTATTCCACAAAATTTGCGTCATTAATAATCAATGCTTGCAAAGGAATAAGGCTCGATTGTACTGGTGGCCTGTAAGCTCCTGGCCATTTCCTGCCAGGTCAGAAACAAGGGTCAGGAAACAAGAGTGCCTTATAGTCCTATTGGGCTCTCCCGAACTTTGATAGGCCAGGATAGGACACAGGGCAGCAAGGGTCTCATTTCTCGGTTGTCTAGTTTTGTTCTTAATGGTGCAAAACCCAAGAGACCCTGAACCCTCCACAGGTTGAGGCCGCCTGGACAGATTGCCTAGGAGGGACAAGAGGTGTCCATACTTGATCAGGCCTCAGGCACCCACACTAGTGTTGTCTGAGATGTTGGTGGCACCCAAAGCAAGGCTAGTTGGAGTGACAGTTTCCCTGTACTCCTAAACCACCTCTGAGAGCTCTGTGAGAGGGAATCCCATTCCAGAGGGTCCCCTTCACTTCAGAGCCCAGCTCTGAGTTGCCTGCTCCTTGGGGCCTTCCTGGTGTTGCAGGGCCTTCTCCACTATAGGCATTTCATGGACAGTTCATGAAGCCATTAGCCTTTTCCACCAGTCATAAACAAATGTCATGTTAGGGGCAAGATTGATGGTGGTCAAGTCATAAAGCTGGCCAGGCAGGACAGAATATGATTGTGTGCAGGCAGCCATTCTCCAGCCAGGCAGAGAGATTGGGGTGTGGGACCAAGAGACTGTGTCAGAGTCTTCACCCCATCAATCTGAGGGGGCAGCTCAGGAGAGCTCTCAACAAGGGAAGTTTAATTTATTCTGACACTGTCCACTTAGGAAGAGAAACCCACTGAGATTTGCCACAGGGCCCCAAATGCCAGCTTCCGAAAGCCCACTTTCTGAAATCTCCCATTTCGATTTATAACTCAGCCAAAAGGTTCCCTGCAAAGAGCTTTCATTATTGACGCTTTCCCTCCCACCCTAACACGAATGTCTTCCTGTGCAGTTGGGGCTGTAGCTTCTTGGCTGGAACTTCCGTGGCCTATTTCCCACCTCCACCCCGTTATCCCATCTCCCCCTTTTCAGTGTGAATACACCGTAACCATTAGGTTCTGTGAGTATTTATGTCTCTGTCCCTTTGTCTCTGTCACTTTTCCCCATCTTTCTCCCGGCCCCACCCAAGTTTCTCCCGGATGTCCCCACTTCCAGCCCAGCTCCGGAACCTGCAGGCCCACCTTCCACTGCACCATGTGGGTGATGAGCCAGATTCGGCCCTGATGCCAAGTTTGCGCCTAGGCCTCAGACAGACTTGGGGCCACACTGAGCGGGAATGGCAGGTTCCAGGTCCCAGTCGGCTGGGAAAGAAGCAATACTTAAGTAAATGAATTCCAGCTCCAAAACCCATTCAGGAAAATGAAAGCCGCTTCTCCACGAACATTCTCAACGTGATTACTAGTGGAAAATTGAGGAAAATGTACCATGTCCACCTTATTGGAAACCAAAGTACGACACAGAGAGCAGAAGGCTCAATTTATGACCTAAGCTGCTTTCCCGTCTTACCCTGGCCCCAAAGAAACCCTCTGGTTTATATTATTTTTTTGGTTGTTTGTTTTTTTCCCTCACTGATTTTAAATTTGCAGCATATTGAGCGTATTATGGGAGATACAGTAGGACCTGGAATTTCCTTACACATAGACTCGGGCCTGTCCTGGAGAAGGCTGGAGCTTGCACTAGGAGACACAGCCAGAGAGAAGAGGCTGGGTCTGTGTGGTCCTCGGGAGGGCCTGGAGTTGCTTCCCGCTCAGAATCTCCCTGCTGGTCCAGGAGATGCCTCCCTTTCTCCCAAAGAGCATTTTCTTTCTCCGGCCTGTCCATGGGCCCCTCCAAGCCCACTGATCTCCCTGGTGTCATTAGGATATGACCGTCTACCCTCTTTTGCAGCTGTGACTGCAGGCCGCTCCTACTGAGGGGACTCGGTGGGCTGCTCCTTGGCCCCCTAAGTCAACACAGCTTGGTGCTACTTGGGTGGGCATGGGAGAGCAGTTTGTGAGCCCAGCAAGTGAGCATCGGAGTGGGAGCCAGGGCCAGGCAGTGAGGCCTCTGGCTTGACCTAAGTGGTGGAACCCTAGGCAGGGCCTAGAGAAGCAGAGGAGGCTCCAGGGAGGGACTCCAGCGGGGTGGGGACAAGGAACTCAAGGTTGGGAAAGGAAGGAGTTTGCTGGAGTGCTCTGAGGACGACTTAGATCCCGGGATCGGAGAGAGAGAAATGGAAAGAGAGGGGAGGGAAGAGGGGGAGAGAGGGACATCCCCCCTCCCATTACCTACTCCGGGGAAAAAGCAGGAAAACCAACACATTTAGCGCCATTAACTCTTAAGACCTCCACATTTCCTTCAGTATAGAAGCAGGTCACTGGGCCGGGAGGCTGCGCTGGGGCTCCTAAATGGCTACAAACCTACAAACCCGACAGGGGTGGGAAGCACATTTCATGGGCGATCGGATTTTTAAAATCTGTTGGTAGAGAGAAAACAAAAATTGTCCTCCAAGTTGGCAAAATCGGCGTCCCAGACCGTGCTCAGGAGGGCCTTGCGAGGCCTGTCCCAGGAGCCCCGCGCCAGCGCGCTGGGGACGCGGCAGTCCAGTAGGCCCGGCTGGGTCCGCAGCCCGGGGTTCACTCGCGGGTCGGGCCCGGCCGCGGGGTCTTTCCGCAGCTGGACAGCAGCGTCTGCGGAGCCGGGGCCAGAGGCTTCCTCGTGAATCCAGTGATTTTTATTATTATCACCCGCTAAGGATATGCGGGCCTCACAATGGCTGTGCTGGTTAACGCGAGGTGTGTGCGCTAACCCAGAGGCGAGGGTGGCGCGCCGGTCGTCCCCGGGAGACCTTAGGAGGAAGAGGCCCCACCGTGATTCCCACTGTCAGGGAAGTCTGGGTGCTAGAAATTCCCAGAGAGAACTCGAGCGGTTGACGTCCTGGGTCAGCAGTCCCTGCTGCCTGTGGGGCTTCCTGCGAGCCCACCCCCACCCTCTCTCCCCTCTCAGGTTCGACGGATTCTCCCGGAGGCGCAGGACAGCGATTTACAGTAAGTGTTTGGTGGCTGCGGAATAACGTGACAGTCCGCTGCATTTGCCAGCTGGCTCCTGGGCGGGCCTATCCGCCAGGCCCGACCCCAGAGTCGAGTCCTCGGAGCCGCGGGGTAAAGCCCCCTCCCCCGCCCCGCTGCAGCCCCGCGTTCCCTGGGCCCGGCGCTGCCGGGGAAAAGTGGCACAACAGGAAAGCCTCGCCAGAAGGCCCTTCCCAGTCAGCTTCCTCGCCATAAAAAGCCAGACTCCAGCCGAGGTCCTGACCCCTTCCAAATATACATTCTCCTGCTCGCGGCCCGCCACTCCCGCTCGGGCCTCGGGCTGTTCAGCCTCCTCCCAGGCTTGCCCGGGCCCGTGGCTCCCCCAAAGCGGAGGGAGTCGGTGCAGCCCCAACTTCAGTTGCGTGTCACAGTTCCCCAACCAGCTTTGCTCGCTTTCCTTCGGCTCGAGGGCTGCCGCACCAGTCTCTGCGTGCGCCTCAGCGCACTGGCACATTAGGGTGGCTGGGGCTGCTGACGGCGAGAGGATACTGTAATGAGCCACAGTGGTTCAGTCCCGCCCCAGCTCTCCGCCGGAGCAGAAGCTTGGGGAGCGCGAGGCCGCCGGCGCCTGGACTAGTACGCGGGCCGGAGCCGCCCAAGCCTGCACCTAGGGGCTCGCGGCCAGCGCGTGAGCACGCGCGGTGGCGGGTCTGCGGGCCTAAAGGCCGGGCCCCTCCCTCAAAACCCGAGCCTGGAAGCCCCGGGGCTGAGAGCCTGGCTGGTGGTCGCAGAGCTGGGGAGCAGGGACACGGGCAGTCTAGGCCTTCCCACTTGCGGTCGGGGCTCTTTCCCGAAGCAGTAAAGGGGTCCCAGTGCCCATAGCAGAAGACGCCCTAGCGGACACGCCGGCTCCCTAATTCAGAGATCAAAGGGGCAGCTGAGAACGGGGCGTCCGCTGTGTGTGACCCCTGCCCCTGGAGGAAGGGCGGGAGCCGGGACTAGGCGGTGGGGCCTGGGGTCAGGCCGGGGTCGTCAGCTCTCAGCAGAGGCGCTCTGGCCGCCGAAGGGGGTGAGGGTGGGGTGACCTGCCCAGCGTCGTAGTCGTACCCGGGACTTGGAAATGGGCTTTGGGGATAGAGCTCGCTCCCAGCGCGCCCTGCAGGGGAAGCATGTAGCTCAGGCCGGCTCCGGGGCCCGAAGACAGCCACAAGGCCCGAGGTCCAATCTCGAGTAATAACCCCGACGGCACAGCCCCTCGAAGACGCCCAGGCACTGGGGGTGTGAGTGGGGAGGCCACGGGCCAGCTTGGGATGGGGTGAGGACGCCTCCAACTCACGGAGGAAATCAGGCCCAGACCTTGAGTGTTCTCAGGGGACACTGTGGGTGGTGGGCCTGCTCCTAGCACCGCTTCGTGCCCCATTGTCGCTGCTGCTTGTGAAAAGTATTAGCTAACACCGTGAGGACAATCCACAATTTTTGGAGGGTGCGGGTGCTGTATACAGACGTGAAGATCTCTTTGTAAGGCACGTCCATGCATACGCAGGGACACTCGTTTTGTAAAACCTGGATGGGCGCTGCCGCCACCCCTCTATGCTACCCGCGGACAATCAAGGCTCCAGGTCATAGAAAATACATTGTCCTGTATGGGCTGCACCTTAACACGGAATAGGAATTCCCACATACAAAGAAAGTGCGGAGGGTGCTTTGAGATTTGTGGGGAAGGGTGTTAAAAAGTTACTTGTAAACAATACATTTAAGGTTATTTTCGGCCGGGCGCGGTGGCTCAAGCTTGTAATCCCAGCACTTTGGGAGGCCGAGGCGGGTGGATCACGAGGTCGAGAGATCGAGACCATCCTGGTCAACATGGTGAAACCCTGTCTCTACTAAAAATACAAAAAATTAGCTGGGCATGGTGGCACGTGCCTCTAATCCCAGCTACTCAGGAGGCTGAGGCAGGAGAATTGCCTGATCCCAGGAGGCGGAGGTTGTGGTGAGCCGAGATCGCGCCATTGCACTCTAGCCTGGGTAACAAGAGCGAAACTCCGTCTCAAAAAAAAAAAAAAAAGGTTATTTTCAATTGAATGTTTAAAGTGTTGCTGCCTGCTACAAGCCCTAATAACACAGTGTTATAATAACAGTCCTCGCATCTGCCAGGAGCCCTCCAACTGGCTGCCAGAGGTTCCACGAGGTTGGTGGTGGTTGGTGTAGGTGAAGGTGATTAAAAGGGGTGAAAAAGAACCCAAAGGCACCCCGGTAGGGTTTGCCAGCGCCGACCCACCCCACACCCCACGTTGGCGCCAAGGCTGAGCAGGACTGGCTTTCCGAAGGAGCCATCTCCTGCGAGGCACCAGCGGCCCACGCCCTTTAGCGCTCCCTTAAGGTCGTGAGGCCTGCACTGCCCAGTCTGCGCCCCTAAACAGCTGCAGAGGTGTGACAGGTTTATTATGCTGGGCCTAGCTCACTCGTAATTCCTTAAAGACAAAGGCAGCAGAGAGAGACGGCAATGGGGCAATGGGGCTTGGCTTTCAGGTCAGATGGCTGCTGGGAGGCCCGGGTTCCACGCACCTCCAGCAAAAACTCCATGCACTTCCAGCATGAACTCGGGCAAGGCTGTTTCGCCAGGGTATGTGAGTATACTGAAGGTTTAACTTTCTCAGTTTTGCGTTACAAAAAAATCAAGGTGGAAGATGTATAACATTTGAAATGAATAGCCAAAGTTTGGCAGAACAGGAAAAAATACGTTCACTGAAATTTAGTTGCGATTTAAGATAGAAGAAACCTGGTAATAAGAATTGTCTTGAAGGATGTCCAAATGAAATTCTCTTGTAGCGCAGAAATGGACAAAAAATACCTAAGTAAATCTGTTCTCTTTTTATCCTTTTAGACATATACACCCCGAAGCCAAATGAACACCCCCTCCTTCCATGACTCAGGGTGCAGGACCAGTGAGAGGGTTGCAACTAAAAATACTTTTAATTTCCTTCAGACACGGATGCTGCCATCCGTTTGGAGTAGAATTCAACATCATGGCTCCACTGGAGTTGCAAAAACTCCTGCCTAGAATCTCTCCTGATTCTAGGTGTCCAAACAAGCAACACTGAATTAAACGGGGCCACCTCGAGCCTGAGGGCCCCTGGAATGGTCTCTCCTGGGTGTGGGAAGGGAGGTTCAGGTGATCAGAGGAGAGGGGTGCTTGCCCATCAGGGTCAAGGCTAAGGGGAATGTGACTCTTTGTGAGATTTAGGGGAGGATGTGTGTGACAGCAGTTTTGGGAGTTGGGTTTGCAAGTGTTTGCGAGAATGTGTGACTGTGAGATGGCATGTTTGTGGCGTGTGTGTGCTCTTGTGAAGGATGTGCATGAATGTTTGTGTTTGAGCCGATGTGACACCGCATGCGGATGTACGTGTGTGTGCCTGCCATCCCGCCCAGGCTCAGAGGCCCGGCCTCCCAGCGACCATGTGTTTCCAATTAGCAGCATCCCGCCTGGGAGTGCAGAGAAGGCAGTCCTGGGCAGCTTCTGAGGAGCGGGTGGGCTAGCTCAGGCCCCCCAGTTCTGCTCTGTTGAGGGTGAGGCCGCCCCGGCCAGCATGCTTTCGCAGCAACTGGGCAGCCACACAAAGGGCCCTCTCTCCTGAGCCAGCCGTTGGAGACTCAGTCCTCCCCCAGATCATAAACCTGCCTGTGAAGACGTTCAGAAATAGTCTACCCACACTCACACACACACACACACACACACACACACATGTGCAAAGGCTGGAATTCCATTTGCTATAAAGTTTTATTTTATTTTGCTTGGAAGGGGAGTGAGGGGGAGAAGAGTCCTGACCTAATTTGTTTTAGGGCAAAATACTGTATTTCATGCAGAGATATACACCTGTACACAAATCCCTGCTTGCTGCCTGTGGGCGTCCTGCACATATGTTCATCAGCCTGCCTGTCGTTGTATGCCATACACAGCTCAGGAGCACACAGCTGTGGTCATACCCAGGCCACCTAAATGATGCACTCAACGAAACCAGATCCACTGATCTGAGGCTGAGCCTTAAACCTTTTTATTTTAACTTCAAATTAAAGCTGATGTCCTTCAAGTGCCTAGCACAGTGTCTGGCGTGTATTAGACACTTAACATAAATTGCGGAATGAATACATTAAAATTAGATTTTAAAAGTGACCTAGTACTAATAAGAAGAGGTTGGAAATCAGCACTGTGTGAAAGATTCTAGACCACAAGGGCAGGCACAGGCTCAAAGACCTCTAGGTAACCCGGGGGCTTTGCCATGGAATGTTCCAAAAATATTTGCTTACCTTCAGGTTTCTTCTTCTGACCCCCCTCTATTTCTCAAGCTTTCCTTTGAGATGGTGAGAGCCCTGGGTTCTAATTATAGTCAACAGAAACCATCCTGGGTGTGAATTCCTCCTTTCTGCAGGAACTAGGTTTCCGGAGTGACTTGTCACCAGGACGGGAAAGAAATGTCCCAGGCAGAGACTAAGGAGGAGGCTCCCCCGAGCACCCCCCCCCGCCGCCCCCTGAGCCTTGCAGGAGTCCTCCCACCAGGGGCTTTCTCAAAACAGGGCAAGGCCTGACTGCAGCCATCTCATTCCAAGGCCTGGATTGTGGAGTTTTTGTTTGGGGACCCTTATGTCAGTGTTTATAACTCGGAGAAAACATCCACACTGACCCTGTAAATGCTAGTTTACAGAAAGACCATTTTTAATAAGAAAAGAGAAAAACAATTTGAAGGCCCCACAATTTGTTGTCTAACAACGTAATTTCAAGTAAAGTGAATATGATTAAAACATCGTGATTTCACAAAGCCATTCAAAGGAGGCTTCGAAAAAAGCAAAGCGACCCAAACCCTGGAGTGTCACATCCCGGCTGCTACAAACCTTAGCGGGGTGGCCCCGCTCCTGTGGCTGCGACAGCGCAGTGGCAGCAGGGGTCGCAGGGGGCCCGCAGATTCGAGCGCCCCTCCCTATCTCCACAGCCCGTCTGCACGGTAACTCAGGGGATTGTAGCTGGAGGGCGGGCCGGACTCCGTGGCCGTGCTCAGGCATTGGGGTTTGTCCTCATGAGCTCCACGTCGGCGTGCACCATCTCTCTCACCAGTTCCTGCGACACAGGGGTGGGCGTGAGGGAGGAGCTTCTGCCACCCTCTCCTAGTTACACCCCACCCGGGGTGTCGGCCCCAGAGAGGCCTCCGAGCCCCTCATTCTCGAACCCCTCCCTTCTCCCGCACCCCGCCCTCCCGGCCTTGGGCGCCTCAGGCGCCTTGCCCTGAGAGCTGCCGCCCTGCAGCCCAGGCCCCGAATCGGGGCGGCGTGCGCCCTGAGAGATACTCACATCGAAAGCGACCCGGGGCTTCCAGTTCAGCTTCTGTTTCGCTTTGGTGCAATCGCCCTGCAGAAAGTCCTGGGGAAGAAGAGGGGGAGACGAAGCAGGCGTGGGTCAGGGCCAGTAGGTCCCGAGCCCCGGGGACTCCACCTTTCTGTTCCCTCTGGACGCACAAGGCTCCAGGTTTCCCTGCTTTCGGTCCTTGCTGCGCGCGTTCAGCTGCGGCTCTCCGCGCCGTAAATCACGAGGTCGCGGTTAAGAATGCGCTGTGCGGCCGTGAGGACCGTGACCGCGATGCGTCCCCAGCTCGCCCCAGCCACCTCCACCTGTCCACCCCCCTTCTCCCTAACGCGTCCCTTGGACTCTTAATGGCTTTTTTTTTTTTTTTTTTTCAACGTTAAGTTGTCAGGGACGCTACTGTGAGAACTGTTTCAAATTACTGCACTTCTCTGGCTAGGAGGGAAGTGAGTAAATCACCAGGCGCCCCTCCCAGCTGCCTGTGCCCCAGTGCTGCTCAGCTCCTGCCGCAGGGCTGGCCTCGCCAAGCACCCATCCTACCCAAAGCCACCAGCCCTGTGGGGAAGGGACTCAGGGTGTGGGGTGCAAGGTCCCAGGACTCGGGGATCCAGCTGTCGCGGCAGGAGCGTGCGCCCCCTCTTTCTAATGCGGCCGTGGGTGTTCCTTCCCGGCCCGCAGTCGGGCGCAGTTCTTCCTGCGAGGTGGCTCTCAGCTTTTCGGACCCATGGTAAAGTCAGTTCACGCTGCCTCCCGCACACGCGCACGTTCATAAAACGAAACTGGAGTTTCACTAAGCAATACTTAGCATTAGCGTCCAGGGACTCTATACACGGTCTATTTTATTCTACCCCGAATTACTCGATTCGATTCTGTTCCTAAGAA